GTACTCGTTGTATAGCTCGCGAATCTCCGGCGGTTCCAGCGGCCAGCTCTCCCCCGCTACGGACGATACGACTTGATGATTGTTCTGAAGACACCATGACTTGGCCCTTTCCGCAAATGCCGACCGGTACAGCATGAACGAGTTCATGGGACGAGTGATGTATCCATTCCTCTTCTCAACTTCGCGTCTCCTGACATCCGCTGGTCTGTTCACCCATTCCTCCATATTCTTGACCGGGATATGATGTAGCTCCTTTGTCAGTATGCTCAACGGCGCAGTAAGCTTGGGCGTCTTGTGCTTCTCGTTCTTCGGTGCTTTCGGCTTCTTCACTCGCGGTGTCGCTTTCCGTCTAGGGCTAGTCTCATTCAGGCGTGGAGAACTGGACGATGTTGTTGCTCGTCCGCTGCGAGTTGTCCTACGTCCGGAATCCTCATCGTTCGCGGATCTTGGTGTCGGTGGCGAGAATAAGGCTTGCTCGTTCTGTCATCCATTAGCAATTGGGTCAGAGACAATCGGCAACATTGCGTACCTGCATGCCGTTGTACGGCCCGTTCTGGTAATACTCCGCTGGTGGACCATATCCCTCCTGTACCTCGATCAGCATGGTTACATGTGTGAAGACGCAGGGACTCTTACATATTGTATACCTAGTCCGAGCCCACGAGGATGGTTATCGGCATGTGACGCATGTGAAGGGATCCCTTCGTGCGCCACCGAGCCAGGCGAGCCGTACCCTGTCTCACCGAACGAATAGCCGCGATCGACGCCATATTGCGCAACTAGGTGCAGCCCGGACTGATACTCTGACCCAGCATTCGGTGGGGTCGGAGGATGTTGTTGGACGAGCGTGTCACCCCTCATCATGGCGAGTGTTGATGCACAAGTTAGTTGCTGCGACAGTGGAGATTGCGGACTGCCGATTGGCCTTGTTTCCGGATTCAACGCAACGCTTAAGCGATGGAGATCGATAGTTGAACAGAGCAAGCGCAACTGCAATGGACGGAATGACTCTTCTGTTGGTCAAAGGCTGCGCAACATGAAGACCGGAGGATTTTGTTGCTTCTGGATACCGAGATGCGTTCGTTGGGCTCTCGAGAAGATACTGGATGAGACTGCTCTGTTCCAGATATTGTACTGGATATGTGTCAGTACGTCTAGCGAATGTGTCGCTCTTTGCTGGGTTTGCTTCACCGCAATGATGCATACCAGTTCGCAAAGTGTTCAGGGAACGAACCTGTTGCAGTTACCCGCTTCTCACCGGCACCAAGGCTTTGGTGCAGAGACAATCAGCGTGGACGACTATGCGATACCAACTTGCAAGTCAGACACCGCCGTACTGTTTGAGTTGTGTTGTTCCGGCCCGTGTCTCTTTGTGGCGAAGGCAGAGCTCGAGCAAAGTGTGAAGGGCAAATCAACGGAGAAGGATTCTTTGTCCGGGATCAGTCGCCAGAAGGTATTTGTAGCGACTACACAACTCGAGGTCGACTGCTCACGTATGTGTATAGTGTACCTAGTCGTCTGAACATGGACAAAGGCACTACCGGATTGGTGCTGGCTGGGCGCGCTTGACACACTCAGACGTCGCGCTGCTTTTGGCCTGCGAACCTCTCAAGCGATGAACTATCTGCGAAATGGCGCAAGACCTAGCCTTCTGGTCCGTTCACGTTTCGAAGTCGAAAATATCATGTCCGTCCTGTTGTGGGGTTGAAAGCGGCCCTCAGCCCCTCCACAGCGACAGCTATAGACGGAAGCTACTCTCAATGTGGGCGCCCTTCCTTTCAAATCGCCTACCCCAAGAAGCTCTCTACCAATCTTAGCAGGGGTGTACTATGGCTTGCAGCAGTCATGTGCACTGGGCGCTCGCTATAGCAAGCCACACGCTCACTGGTATCTTTAGCCTCCAGAACGACCCCTGAAGTTATGTTCCGCCAGAACATGGGCTGCATTCCTGCACCAATTGCATCACCGGGGGCTCGCGGTACCCTTGCCCAGCAACCAATGACATAGATGGTACATGACAAGAAATTTCCCCAAGGCCGAACGTGGTTGGTCGACCAAAACTTGGGTTCTTTCGCTACGTAGTCAAGCCTGACGTGCTGTTCACGGATGGCTGCAGCTCTCTATGTCAGAACCCTGACAGCTGGTCATACTTGGCAGGGCTGACCACGACACAACGATTTCTCACATCCACACCGCACATCAAAATGCAACTACACAGTCAATCTACAGGCGGCGACAAACTAGGCACATCTCAAACACTCGATCTCAAACACATTATCATGATTTTGCGGTCGCCGGACAAAGGGTAGGGTCGGTACGGCAATCCCGACAGGCTGGTTACGATGCGCCCCCGCGGCGAGGTTCAGGTCTGTGTCGACCGCTCAAGCTCAGAATAATTCCGTCCATCTTGCCTCTCGGCTATGGAACCCAACATGCTGCAGCGACGACATTTGGGGTAAGCCCGTCACGGTCAACAGACCCTCCACGTCCTTCGGTGACAGGCCGCGGACACCTGGGCAAGGTCCTGCATATTGCATGCATACAGCAGAAGTTCGGTTGCTTCCGGTCGATCGTGTTGACATGGGGACCTGCCTTTGGAATGCGTACTATCGCCGTTTCGGCACCACGACCAAACTGTTACAGCCTTGTGCGACCAGGTTTGACTGAGCCTCAAAGACGATAGTGATTGGTTCGAGCAAGCGCGAAACAAAAGTGGAGACCACTGTCTGGAGTATTGCTTTGAACCAGGAGGCTTGAATGAGTTTGTACTGTTTGAGCATGCTTCTCTGACCGGTCTACCCAAGAATGAACGCAAACGGACTATCACCATGCCAAAGTGCTCTGGCAGTATCGTGGAGGACTGCACCAGGACACATGATCGGTATTCATGGTGGGTACAACATTGCCGACTCGAGCTACTCGTAGTTACAGGCGTCAAGAGCATCATCTGCGCACGTGTGTGTGATCGACGCCGTAGCTGTCAATGTCTGCCTCCACTGACCCAACTTCTGTATTGCCTGAATAGGCCATATCTCCGTTACCTTCGCCAGCTATCGCAATTGCAAGAAACCGTTTCCGCAATTTCCCATACGGTGATCCCGTCCGCGGGCTAGAGAGATATGATCCGCTGGTTCTACCCGTCATCGACCCGGATGTTCTCGGTCACAGACCTCCCCGCGCCTCATTCCACTTTTTACAACGACTATCTACACCTAAAACGCTCGGTACCTTGCAATAACTACCCAAGAGATGTTGTACTACCATTCCGCGGACGCTAAGAGCCAAGGTCAGCCCCCATTTTGCTGGAAGGGTTTGGCGGTTGAGCGGTCTACCCCACTTCCCAGCATTGTTACCATGGGACGAGCTTCTGGCACGGGAATTCCGTCAATAGTGTGATCGAAATCACCAATATCATTGCGCTCGAAGCAAGCTACGCTCAAGCTTCGGCCCTTTTCTGCTCACAGCACGACAAGTGCCGCGCCATCGGCACACTCGCGTTGAAGATGCAGCCGCATGACATCTTGCACGCTGGAGTTGCCTAGTCACCTCAGGTATACACGCCTCCGGCACCAGGAAGCTGGCGCTGGTACGCTAGTATGCGCTCTTGCAGTAGGCCAACGGTCGCAGTTCGATCCAGCAACTATGCCGCGAGGTACCCATATACCGAGTGATGCTTGGTACGGCTCTCATGCAAGTATCGCACGATGTGCCTGACATTCTTCAATGTACCTTGATGAAAACTTACCCGTTCCAGAATGATCAGAAGACACGGCACAGTGGCACAGTCGACGAAGCTCCCGGCAAAAGCTTACGATATATCTATGGCGTCGAGGCAATATCCCAGCATGCCGCTCAGTAACGGGACGCCTCTGTCGCTTCTGGCGCGAAGGCGCTTATCTCGCGTAGTTTTGCCGGCTAAAGTAGGTGTAAGGTATGTGACGAGTAGCGCACCAGCATCAGGGCAGCACTTGTCACACAACAACACGTGCAAGATCGGGGCTTCCGCTCGATCATCGCTTTCCAACGGTGGACTAAGGTCGTTGTAGACTGAGCGCCACCGTCAGCCTGGACATTCGCCTCTTGCTTTTACCCCTCATTTCACGTCAAGGCCTGAATCCTTCTCCATTCCATTCGGCTAAAACGTCAGCGTCGCTCACCACTCCACTCACCTTATCTCCTTGCTGAACCGATGCGGCTTAAAGATAACATGGGTCTTTCCTCAAGCAGCTAGCATCGTGTTACGCCACCCCATGGAGTCGGTACACGCTAGCACGTGATGTCACTAACGCTGCGCTCCTGTCGCTTACCCCAGTCGTTGGTCGACGCCCATCCACAACGGCTGCCAGCCTGGATGTGGGAAATGCTGAATCCTGTAGGGGTGGCGAAAGTGCATGTTCGCATTAGCTCGCATCTTCCTGCCCAACGTACGTTCGTTGAGCTATCTAACTTTGCATCACATTGCGCGAATGCGCGCGATATGAGATGGCTGTTCCTAGTGCAGAGGAAGGTCAGGGTATCCTCGTAGTGCAAGGTGCCAGTCATGCGGCGCACACTTGCTTCAGTGGTTGTTTCTTCAATCACAGCTGTGAGGTCGACAGCCAGTACGTTGCGTGCCTGCTGATACCAATTGCTTGCAATTCTCACAGTAGCAACGTTGACAAAGAGAGTACACTTTTCCTCCGTGAAAAGTCGAAACAGTGTCTCGTCAAATTTCACTATGTCGCTGAGATGAGATCACTGCCTTCACGACGTTATCAAGACATTGGCACGTTGATACGACAGGAGGAACACTGTGATGTGCAAAACATTAGACGAGACAATGGAGCAGTCGATCAATGAGACAAGCATGTAGAACAGTCCTTCATGTAGCTCACGAAAAGTTTTGTTTGTACCAATGATATATATCGCGATATCATATGAATCGCGCAAACGTGCCAGTAAACACGGCTCAGGGAAACAGTACCAAGATTGAACGCGACTGACTGACAGAACCCCGCATCATGAACGAGACCAAACCAATGTCGTTCCCTGACCACGAAGCTGCATCACCGAAGCCTTCAGATGAAGAGCAGCAAGGTACAGTCAGACCCGTAACACGAACGAATGCTTCATCATTTGCTGCCCCAACCAGGGCGTCCGAAGCGAAGAAGAATGAGAAGATTGAACTTGCTCAGTATGGGAAGAGGTCGGCGTTGACGAAAGAAACTTCTTCGAGGCCGGGTAGTGCGATGCGGCAGCATTCGTCTCCTAGGTTTGGTAGTAGACCACAAAGTCGTCAGCGGTTGGGGACTGGTACGCTCACGCGAGATGAAGATGATGATGAGGTAGATGATGTTCATGATGATGTTGACATTGATGAGGAGGACGCAGATGACGACGAGGCACACGTCGATGATGACGACTCTAGTCAATTTGATAGCGATGTGGAAGAAGATAGAAGCGCAGAGGAAGAAGATAGAAGCGCAGAGGAAGAAGAAGAAGAAGCACCGTCAATCCTGGAAGGGAAGGAGCTGGAAGGAAAGCCGCTAGAGAAGGAGGATCTAGAGGGAAATAAGCTAGGAGAGGAAGAGTTAGAAAAGCAAGCACAAGAGAAAGTATCTGAGCCCGAAGAAGAGTTAACCATACAGGAACAGGAGCAATCGTATGACTTGGAAGATCTCTTAGCCCAGGAAGAGCCACAGCAGCATCACGATGAAGACCCCAGTCCTGATGTTCAGGTATCACAAGAGCGGGAATCACCTTTGACGCAAGACTGTACGGCTGCAGTGTCACAAGAAGATCTTGTCGAGAATGTGGAAAGCCAGGCCGCCGCACCTGAAGACCAGATTGAAAGCGTTTCGCCACATGTCAATAAGGAAAGCAACAAAGATAGTGTTGCGACAACTCCAAATGATACCAAACCCATCGTTCCGCCTGAGATAGCTGCAGAGATACAAGAGCTCGAAATCAAACGTCAAAAGGTGGAGCAAGAGCGCGATGAGGCGACGAGACAGCGTGAAACCGTATTACAAGAGTTGCAAACCGTCAAAGAAGAAGCGACGAACCTGAAGCAAGAGTACGAGAAGCTTTCTGTCCAACTTCGCGAGAGCGTAGCCAAGATCGCGGCGCGCAATGCACGCGAACCTGGATTACCTCCTCTTGAAAAAGTCGAAGCCGAGAACAAAAAGCTCCGAGCATCGGTCGAGCGAACGCGGCTGGAACTCGAGGCGAAGAAGTCAGAGGCAGAAGATGCGACTGCTGCCTGCAAGGGGTTTGATGACTCACTGAGGGAAGTGGACGAGAAGCTAAAGAACAACCAGGAGTCTATCCGCACGCTCTGTGAAGTTGTCAACCAAGTGGCAGAGAATTTGCCGATGATCTCGAAATGTGAGCCCAAAAAGCTCGACGCTGTATTCCTGAGTCTTTCACAAGATGATGAGACTGGTAAACTACGAGGTGAGTTTCTCAGACTGATCAAAAACTTTAATGGGAACTTTAAAGAGCTGCGGGAGCAGATCGTAGACTTGAAGCGTGAGGTAAAGGATAAAGAATACGAGATTGATAGCTTGAAAACGGCTGTGGAACTCGAGAGGACGGAATTGCTGACCCCGGGTCTACCAAGTCCACGTGGCATGCCGACGGGTACAAACGAATTCGAACAGTTCTACAAAAAGGAAAAGAAGAAGCGCCATGATGTAGAATTGGAGCTCGCCAAAGCGAAAAAACAGCTGTCACAACTCCAGCCTGAAAATGAGAAACTACAATCAGACCTCACCGAGGCGCAAGAAGAACTTGCAGAACTTCGCCCCAAGAACGACCAGTTGGAAATGGAGGCCAAGACCTGGAAGGAAGAACTAGAAGAAAACAAGGCCCAATTCGAACAACGCAGCCTCGCATTCGAAGCCAACATGTCCGAGCAACAACTAGAGCAATTCCGATACATCCGAGACTACTACCAAAAAGTCAAAGACCATGCCCACTGGGAAGTCCAGGGCCTCCAACAGAAGCTCTCAGTAGCAGACCAAGTAAGGGAGGCACTCAAACGAGACTACAAGCGCGAACAAGTCGTCAACACGCGCTTGGAAGACGCGGTGATTAGACTGAGGAAGAGCGTCAAAGCTCGGGATATTCATATTGGAAAGACGGAACAAGCATTCATGCTCCAAGCACCGTTTCCGATGCGCTCACCTAGTACCTCTGGTAGTCGCACGCCTGATAGCGATACTTCATCGTCCACTTCACCTTCCTCGATCTCGGATTGGACTCATCCCTTAGAACGCATCAAGCGACCCCCGCTCATACCGCGCTGCCACCTCCCCGCTGCAATCGAAGCGCGACAAACCAGACTGAATACTTACAAACAAGAACTGGAAGAAAAGCGAGAGGTAGAGATCTTCAAGGCCAACGTGAAGCCACGCGCATCAACAGCCAGGGGTGGAGATATTGCAACTGCTATTATGGATCAAGTGCGGAAGTCGGGCATGGGGCCTTTGTATCCGGTTGAGAAGACGGGGTGGTTGGATACGAGCTGGAAGGGCGCGTGGGAGAGGTGGGATGGGAATTACTGGGCGATGGAGTTTGCGAAGGGGAAGCAGGTAGACTTTTTGAAGAAGGTGGGGGTTTGGCGGGAGGATTGGAATTAGTAGCATGATGTAAATAGCAATGATCTGTAATATAATGTTGTATTAGTTCGTCCACGTATCTCGATCATCTCAACAAGAAGTATTGTTGGCGATATGTGTGCTGACAGCCTCATATTCCAACCCACTTAGACCGCCTCAGTTGTCTCAGTCTCGCCCTTCTCCTTCTTTGCGACGTTATTGATGGTGGCAAGCGCTTCTCCCTTGGCTTGCGCAGCAGCAACGTTTTCGAGGTCGCGCGCGAGATTGTCACTGCCCTTCTTGGTTTTCCAAGCGTGTGGGCCTTCTTTGCTAAACAGGAACTCAACCTCCTCAAGAGTCTTACCACAAGTCTGGTTGAAGAGTTAGTCGGAGCCATCTTAGGAATTTCGAATTTCCTTACCTCAGGGTAGGTGAAGAAGAACTGGACGGCGGCCATAAGGCAGAGAATTCCGAAAACGAGGAAAAGTCCCCATCTAATGTTGACGAACGCGGGCGGGATGAACAGTCCAATAGCGAAATTGAAAAGCCAGTTGCCAATAGCTGCGATACCCATTCCAGAAGCTCGGGTTTCTAGTGACCAGACCTCAGCTGCGTATACCCAGCAGATGGGTGCAAGGGTAAGAGCGTAGAACTAAAGACGCGGAATTAGTGTGGTTCATGTTCAGCTCGTAGAAGTACTTACGATAATCAAAAGATACGAGAACGCGATAACGGTGTACGCCGGCGATCCGGTGACACTCATGACAACATTCGCGTCGCCACCAACACCCCCAGGGACATATGTGTAGAACCCGCCGAGCATTCCAGCTACGACCAGATGGCATATGCCCATAGCAATGGCTCCCCAAACCAGAAGTGTTCGCCGGCCGATCTTGTCGACGAAGAAGAACATGATGGACGAGAAGACGATGAACAAAGCGTATTGCACACCGGAGGAGATAAGCTTGGTGTTGCCTTCGAGACCAGCCATGGCGAAGATGTATACGACGTAGTAAGTCATGACCTGGGAATTGTTAGTACGACGGTACTATGTTGACTACGTTCAACATACATTAGCACCCGAAAGCTGCTGCCAGGCCTGAACGGAGAAACCGGCAAGAGTTCGTTTCCACATGCCGTTGTAGACAAACTTTCGCCATCCTTGGGGAGCTAAACGTTCTGCAGTGAGAGCAGTTACGATCTCCTCGTATTCGGCGATGACATAGGGATCCTCGATGTTGCCATCGGCTTGGATGGAGGCCAGGATGTGGATTGCTTCTTCTGTACGGTCGACCTTTGCAAGCCATCGTGGAGACTCTGGGAGGAATGGGAGACCGATCATGAACATGACGCAGGGGACGAATTGAATTCCCCACGCCGTACGGAATGAAGCTGACTCGCCGGGAATGAAAGTACATCCGTAACCGATGAAGTACCTGCGATCTGTTGGCTTGGGCTTATTTCGTGTGTTCAACGTACTTACATGATAAGAATACCCCACTCAATAGCCAGCTGTTGGATAATAATGATAGCACCACGCTGCGAGTGCTTGGAAATTTCGGCGAGGTAGACAGGAACCTGAGACGAAGTGATACCGACAGTGACTCCGTTCAATACACGACCGGCGATAAGCATGCCGCGACCAGTTGTAGCAACCTGCAGCGCAGTTCCGACTAGCCACCAAAGACAGGCGAACATGAGGGCATCGCGACGACCAAACTTGTCGGAGATAGGACCAGCAATAGCACTGCCAACCACTGATCCCGCAGCAAGGGCCGCGCCAATAGCTCCCTGAACGACACCGGTTGGGTTATCGAAGTAGGTGCTGTTCGTTGTTAGGGATCAGTAAGTGAGATGTTTGACGTCACTGCAACTTACAGATATTGGTCACTCGGAATGATGGCACTCATCGAAGAAATATCAAACCCGAAGAGCATGCCACCCATCGTGGCAACAATTGCCAAGAAGTAGACATTGTAAATCTTAGGAAATCTTTCGAACATCTTGACCGGGACCTGTCCAGAGCCTTGGATTGATGCAGAGATGACAGTCGTTCGACCTGTCGATCCACAGACGTGGGGAGGGTCGAATATAAAGGTCGAGAAAGTCGGCACTACACGCCGCTGTGCTCAACGTGACAATCATATCGCTTGAAGCAGCCGTCTCCACTCGAGTCCTTGCTCCGCATGGAGACTCCATACTCGTTGGTCATAGCCCTGGACAGCCAGGTAAAATGGTTAAAATGGATTTACCGACCCAAGTATAGCGGCCGCATGCCGAGAAGCCTGCCGTCTTGACCATCGGAGAGAAACGAGATCGAGTCAGTGTCGGAGCTCGTGTGATTTGTGGAAAAACGATTCTGGGGTTAGGCTGGAGGTGGAGAAGGACGCGCTCAGGCCCGGAGAGTTGTGGAGATCGCCTCACCCGCGTTGTGCATGTGTGGATGTCGTCAGTGGCATCTTAACCGAACCGGCGGCTCTTTCTGCAGACTGCCGGAATCCGACTAAGGTGGTTGCTTCGATGCGCGATGTTACATGTGACTGGAGATGTTTCCTGAGCAGGTGGTGCTTCCGATTGTTGTTGTGGGTGATTGGGCAGGAATGCGCTTGAGGGTGGTCAGAACGTACGACGAAGCGCGATCGTTGCTCTGCTTGGCAACGCTGGCTCTCCGACTTTTACCTTGCCATCGCGATGCTATCAACGGCGACGTATCGCAGTCGCATCGAATTGGGATGGTTGAGATGATTTGCGACAAAGGAGATGTTCTGTGGGAAGCGATACTGGTGACGCCACTGGTTTGTCGCATGCCTAAGCGCATCTGATATCGGCGCAGGTCCAAGATGCGTTCTCACGATCGGAGTCATGACGAACATCGGACTTGCTCATCGATGATCGGGCTTTCTTGCACATGTGCTTCAGATGTTCGTGTTTGGGCTAACCTATTGCGTCGCCCTGCGCGTCGACCAGGATCCTCACAACATGGGAATGTTGAAGCGGGACGACTCAGAAAGTCAGGCCATTCGCTATGTTACCCATACAAATCTTGCTTCGATCACAGCGCCGTGATTGCAGGTTTGACTTGGAAATTCATACACTTAGCCAATCCGCATTATACGCGTAAATAAAGAAAGGCTTTGAATGCGATTTGACAACAAATTTTGACACTACGAGCATCGTTGCCGTGATTTTTTTTTGCAGCAATCGCGAGTCGGGGAGAAGATCTGAGAAAATGGTCGCCATAACGTTTGGCCTTCTTGCTGCATACAACACCTACTATTACTGCGTCTATTCCAGCCCGTTCTGACCTCAATATTTCAGTATGCAGGCTGATGTAAAATATACTTCCCGAAAGTGTGGCGCACACATGAGAAGACGTGCGAGCCGTGCGAAGGCGTAATGCTGGAGATGGACTGCGTCATCCATTTTTGGATTTCGACTATGTACTGCGCAGACGCGCTGTCGCTCATAAGAGACTGTTGCAATCAAACTCCAGATCTTGTCTCTGTTTCGAGTAGATACTGGCTGTGCCCAAGTGCTCCGTACGAACAAAGAATTGCGAATTTTACGAACAGCGTATCGGAAGGACATGTTCGCGCTGAGTCTGGCTCCCTACACTCCAACTTCACCAGATCCTTCACTAATACCTATTATACCAACAATGCTTCACGCCCGTATCGCTACGTGGTTGCGCAGGAGTCTCGAATACCACTGCTAAGTTTTGGTGTTCGAGCAGCTATCTGCCGCCCCTGGTCCGCCCAAGCCAGCGGCTAAGTTCGGCCACGTCAACCATCAGTGCCATCAATTCCAAACTTCCACCGGTCAGAACCCCACAAAATTTGGTGGGAAGCACAAGGCCCATACTACAAACGACCTGGCATTGCGTTTGGGGTTCCAGAACATGCCGATTGTTCGAAAAATCCGTTTTTGGTGTTGTCCTACATATACGCTTTTTTTTGCTCTCTTTCCATCAACAAGAACAACAGCTTCACAGCAGTTGCCTTAACCGGTCTTATGGTCTAGTGGTATGATTCTCGCTTAGGGGAAGCGTCTTACGACGCTCGCAAACCCAAGCATAGCTTGCGAGAGGCCCCGCGTTCGAGTCGCGGTAAGACCCATGTTTTTGCACTTCCTGCGGCCCCAGCGCGCCCAGCAAACTCAGCACGCATTCCTAAGGCTCAGAGGAACATCTCTGGAGCTTTAGGAAGAGCCTGCTATGCATGTGGGCAAGATGTGCTTTTTTTTTGGCTTACGCAGACTTGTTGCACAATATCTTCAAGAAGTAACTCTGCAAGGCCTAACGCGGGCTTAAAGTACTTGAAGAGATCTCTTTTGATTCTATCAACGCGTTACTAGCTGTGTACGCGTGTGCGGAGAAGACTGGTTATTCTGTTCCTCTATTTACCCGCAGGATTTGCAGAAATCTAAGACTACCTAAGTAAATCTGTAAGACATATGATGGACTCTTAGCATTCTTAACAGTACTTCTCTGTTCTTATTTCAAATTTGCGCGTATGTTGCACCCGTAGGTGCAATATTACTTTGTTTTCTGTACAATTGATTGTCTACGCCTAGGCGGTACTGTGGAACCCTGTGAACGAATTTCGTACACGAGTAGCAGCCTGGAATCTCAATTTCCGTTCTCAAAGAACCACTATTACTTGAGTCTTCGTCACTTTGCTTTTCCACGCGTCTTCGTATAGTCTCTTCGTAGCGTGCAAAGTGGAACCGCGATCAGGGGTCAAAGCGCGAACCCTCCTGCTGCAAATAGAAACTACAAAACCTTGGAAACAACAACGTCACCTCACCTCAACACGTCGAATCAATCTTCCGACGCGTAGCCTTCGCAATTAAAAATGCAGTGGCGATGGGAATACCCCAGCCCGAATGAGTACATTGTCGGGGCGTGGGAGCCGAAGACGTCGAATCACAAGTGAGTTTGCATAAGGTACCTCCGTATCAAATTGGGCTTGGCTGACTTGAGGTAGCTTCTGTGAAGAAGTACGCAATAAAGAAGAAGTTGAAAGGCTTTAATTGAGATTGATGTTCTTGTAGGACTACATGATAACACCCTACATCGGCGAATTCATAAACACCCTCACAAACATCACCTACGGTCCGCCCATCCCCATCCCCATCCCCCATCCATCCCCAGCCCCAAACTCACTCTCCCACCAGTAATCTACGGCCTCCACGGCCTCCGCCGCGTCGCCCCCAAACCAACCGGTGGCCTCATCTCCACCCTCGCCTTCCCCTACTGGGGCCTGATTTCTGTCGGCCTCCTCTCTGCGTGGTTCCACGCAACGCTAAAATACCATTCGCAAATGGGCGACGACCTATCCATGTTCCTGGCCGTCGGCGCCATCTTGCACCAGCTGCTGTGTTTCAAAGCTACGGTGAATGAGAGGAGGAAGTACACGGCGTATATCCTAGGAAGTCTGATTCCAGTATCCGTGTACCACGTCTGGGCCGATGAGATAATCCTGCATGAGATTGCGTTTGCGGTTATGATCTTCCTGGTGAGTAAGTACACGCGCGCGCTTATTAAAGTGCAAATCACGTCCGAAGAAGCGCGTAAAAAACTTGGGAGGATGGCTACGTTTGGTATCTCCACTGGCCTCTTCGGATACTTCTTGTGGAACATTGATTTCCACGCGTGTTACTACGTCACAGTCTTCAAGAGATGGATTGGACTGCCCTGGGGTTTCTTGTTCGAATTGCATGGGTGGTGGCATATTTTTACGGCGATTGGCGCGTATGTGGGTATGGCGCTTGTGGAGTATCTTGTTACGATTGAGGAGGGGAAGACGGGGACGGTGGAGGAGGGGTTTGTGTGGCCGGTTAGGGAGGTGTTGAGGGATTTGGATGGGGTTGAGAGGACGGGGGTGGAGGGGAAGAAGATGAAGTGAGAATACTGGGAGTCGTATGTATGTTGGAGGGATGGGGTCGTGGGTTGGTTGGCTTTGTATTGTATTTGTGTTATTGTATAGCGTTCTAGAGGAGGATGTGTGATGCGAGGAAGCTGGCTTTTTTTGTGGGGATACCTGAAAGCATTCAAGATTCGTTCCAAAAGTTCATGCAATATCATGTCTGTAACTGCCTTACTAGAAGCTACCATGAATCTCATAGGCGTTCTTCGCGCTGCTATTCATGTACCCACCACAAGTACCTCGCAGCCATCCACCTTCCGTCCCGATGCCATCTCACTACCCCAGCTTACCAACCCACCCTCCTTTGCATCCTCAAATTCTCCCAAGTCGCACATATCGCGCAAACAGTCCGCTGGAGCTATCATGGTAAAGTCCATCTTCTTCCGCCACACCCGGGCCTGATTGGCCGGCCGGAGTTAAGATCTCAATGGACCCGGCAGATGCAGGTAGAATGTGGAGCCCGCGTCATCAACATCCAGTTACATAAAAATGACTTCGGGCCCGAGAGGACTGCCGACGCGATATAAAGACTCGGTGGAAGAACGATAGACAGGACAATACACGATACCAACAGCGACACAATCCATTGAGGTACTAGAGTGATAAATTTGCCGGATTTCTATCTACCCCACTACCAGTCTCGAAACATCAAAGAAGCACCGAGAATGCCTGAACTTGTCGGAAAGACTGTAGGCCCAGTTGGCTACGGCCTCATGGGTATGCATCGTTACCTACCTCGCAATCGCTTCGCTAATACATCACAGGCCTGACATGGCGCAAGAACCCACCACCAGCCGAACAGAGCTACGAGGCCATGCGCACAGCACTTTCACTCGGCGCGAACAACTGGAACGGCGGCGAGCTCTATGGATCACCGGAGCGCAACTCTCTACATCTACTCAACGAGTACTTCACCAAGTACCCCGGCGACGCAGAGAAGGTTGTTTTGTCTATCAAAGGTGGTCTCAAGAAGGGTGAGATGGCGCCCGATGGCAGTCGCGAGAATGTCAGGCGCAGCATCGACGAGTGCTTGAAGGTGCTGGATGGCAAGAAGAGCCTCGATCTGTTCGAATGCGCCAGAGTCGACCCCAAGACACCCATCGCAGACACTGTTGGCTACATCGCAGAGTATGTCAAAGAAGGCAAGCTCGGAGGCATCAGCCTGTCAGAGGTCGGCGCGCAGTCTATCCGCAAGGCGCATGCTGTGCACCCCATCTCCGCCGTCGAGGTTGAGTTCTCGCTCTGGGTGACCGACATACTGGAGAACGGTGTCGCGGCGACGTGCGCAGAGCTTGGTATCCCTATCATCGCGTACTCTCCTCTCGGACGTGGATTCTTGGTAAGCGCATCTCTTCTCGCCCAACGACTTACGCTAATGTATTACAGACTGGCAAGTACAAGAAGTACAGCGACATCGAGCCCGACTCTATGCTCCAGCACATGCCCAGATTCCAGCCCGACGTATTCGATGAGAATATCAAGTTGCTCCACGCAGTCGAGGACATGGCGAAGGCCAAGGGAGCCACACCAGCTCAGATTGCCATCGGCTGGGTTCTTGCGCAGAGCGGTGCCAAGGGTATGCCTACTATCATCCCAATCCCTGGTGCAACGACATCGGAGAGGATCGAGGAGAATATGAAGCCGGCGAAGCTCAACGACGAGGACATGAAGGCGCTGGACGAGATGCTGAAGAAGTTCCCTCCGATTGGAGGAAGGTACCACGAGTCGCAGTCAGCATTGCTGTTCGCATAGATAGCGAAAATCTAGTCTGAAGCTTGTTAGCACTGTAGCTGTAATATAGCAAGCTTAAGATTGTGTAAAGAATAGCAAATCAGAAAGAATTGTAGTGTAGAGCTAATCCGCATTTGAGCCACCGTGAAGCGACTCTTTGGAATTGCAGAACTCTGGAATAGATCATCATAGAGATGAGATGAAGGAGACGGTAGAAGAACTTACCTATAGCCGTTTGTGTGGTGTTGGAGGGAGGTAGAGCAAAGTCATATCGCACCCAGCCTCGTTACCGTGGTAAAGAATGGAGACGTCCAAATGGACGTTCGCCCGACGAATGAGCGCCGTCGCATAGCCAACTGACCAAGGTACAGCCTGGTGTGATTACAATTGAGTGATAACAAGACGAGGAGGAGGAAAGAGGAAGGAAGTAACCTTGGAAGCAGCCCAAAAATATCGAGCTAAACGGGTGGTCCCTGCACCTCGGGCTAGACGTCGAACGCGCCGTACAGCCATCGTCACGCTCTCCAAACGCGCCCACCGCTACATTCACATACACATCAATCGCCGCCATGGAGTCACCTTCAGAACTCTCCGAGTACGGCAGCGACGATTTTCCCGAGGACATCAAAGGAGGCCGCCATGCCAGCTACGAAGCCACTCCTGACCACGACCAGCGCCCCAACAAGCGACCACGCCTGAATATCCGCGCGCCATCTTCACCGCCCCATATCAATACCATGGCGCCCGAAGAAGAGGGCGAGCTGTCTGAAGACACAGATGGCTCTGTACCCGCGTCGCCTCATCACCACCCGGGCATGTCGCAAGACGACGACTACGGCCAGGAACAGGTTACTGTCTGCAAATGGGACGGCTGCACGGCGGGTGACCTGCAGAACATGGATAACCTCGTCGAACATCTTCATGAAGATCATATCGGTACACGGCAGAAGAAGTATAGTTGCGAGTGGAGCGACTGCACAAGAAAAGGCATACCCCATGCTAGTGGCTATGCGCTTAGGGCTCACATGCGCTCACATACAAGGGAGAAGCCATTCTATTGTACCCTTCCAGGTAAGTCGCCAGACCCATCTCTATAGCATCCGTCATACTAAGTCCCCTAGAATGCGACCGTTCCTTCACCCGCTCCGACGCGTTAGCCAAGCATATGAGAACCGTCCACGAGACCGAAGCACTGCGCCCCTCGGACCCCGTCCCCAAGCACCACTCCTCCAACCCCACAAACAACAAGCAGCGCCTCAAGCTCGTCCTCAACAACGAAGCCAAGAAGCTGCCCCACGACAAAGGCTCAACACCGGGCTCTCCTTCCTCACACTCGCACCCCCCGAACAGCGCGACCCTTCCGTCCAACGCACCCGCACCCGCGCCCGACGCCGACTACGCCCACAACAACGTCATCTACCTGCAAGACCTCGCCAACCCCTCCGCCCCAGCCCTC